ATGCATGATCTGTTTGGTATTTTTGAAAAAATGTTTTATATAGGTATGGCCCTACAATATATTATTCAAATATAGCATGATAGGTCTTTAATTTCTTCATACAGCGGGAATCCAAATGAATTAATCCTGAGTCCAATAACCATCAAATTCACTCCAATAGTGCTCCTTAATTACACTTTCGTCCTCCTTTGACAAAATACTTTACATTCATCCACATTCATCCCCCCCCCCTTGTGTGTGTGTGTGTGTGTGTGTGTGGGGGGGGGGCAACTTCCAACAGGAGTCATTTGGGGGGGGATCTTGGGAAAAAAGGTTGGGAACCACTGCTCTACTGCGCCACACGGCTCTAATCCCTCACAGGAACACGGTCAAGGACAATGTAGCTGGGTTGAATTGAACTCTTGAAAAAAAAAAAAAAAGTGATTTTGTCCACACAATCGTTTAGGTATTATTTATATAAAAGTATGATGGAATTTACCTTCATGATTAAAGATGTTTTTACTTATACATTCAAATTACAGACATGATGACATTTGCATTCATAGCTTTCAATAAACCAGTTATTTTCTGAACAAACAGTGCAAAGAATACTTTTTTTCCTTAGTCAGCACTATATTAAACTCTACATTAGTGTTTAGTTACACGATTGGGTGATCCAAACCCTTTCAGCTGTAAACCATAAGTATCTCCCACAGCTTTCCAGATGTGTGCTTATGTTAATATTTGAAAGGAAGAGTGTCTCTTATCACTCAGCGTTCAATCTCCCACTGTGAAGTAATGCTGCGACAGCCACATGGGGGTCCAAATATTTCTGCAGGCTATGACAGGCTGCTTCTAGACTAATTCTTCTTAAGTTCACCAAGTTTTTGCTGATACACTATTATACAAGTCTGAACACAATTTAAACAAATGCTCACATTGCATCTGCCGCTACATGCTGCTAACATAAAAGAAAACAAAAAAGAAACTGAGGGTTAGGACATAGTTTTGAATCTAAGGTTCAAATCTTATATCTGCTTGTTGAATGAGAAATTGGATCTGATAATGATAAAGCAGCAAATACAGACTTGCCCAGCTTGCCTTCCTAGCCACGTTTACATTTTTGGCAGGCAAGGGAAAGGAAAAAAAAAAAATGGTGGTGCCACAGTAACCCAGCTGTTATGGGAAATACACCGGACCCAGATCTGTCTATCCAACAGTTCGGTAGTAAGCCTCAGCAAAATGTGGCCAGACAAATACATCCACAATTATTCAGATCCACTAGACAGCACCAACTGTTGAACCTGGTAATTCCACTCACAATCAACACAATGAAGTTTAAATTAAAGGAGCTATTTAATCCTGGACACCAATCAATAAGTTAAACTCAGTAAAAATTGCAATAGCTTTTTGTTACTGTTACGCTTATTCAAAAAGTTTGGTAAATTTGCTTTCCTCTTGTGATCATGGGAGAGATTAGAGCTGGGTTGCTGCGACACCATGGTGAGCCAGCCAAATGTAGGCTTATGATGCAGAAACATTGAAAATGGGGTTGCACCGTACCTTTACCAGGTGGATGAGAGTAGTGAGGATGGCACATCGTAGCATGTTGTGTTCTTCAGATTGCTTCCAGAGCAGGGGCAGGTACTGCACCAGGCAGCCTACATACGGCCGGATCTGAAGGAGAATAACATGTAAGAAGCATAGCAGATACGACAGTGAGACCATTTAAACCACTCATCAAACATATGATAGTCTCCTATAAATGATGCAGATGAAAAAAGTATTTTCTGGGAACAGTGAGAACAACAGGTTTCTCTGTAAAGTGGTATGTATATTGGTCAATTACAGAAACACACTTAGAAATAGTGATCAATTAGCAACCGGGTGAAACAGGTCAGATTTTCAGCTAATTGGCCAATAAAGAAACATTATGATAATGCAACCACGATTATAAATGCACCAATATGTACATCACTTTCCTTAACACATACAATGAGAACTTAGGATACTGCATGCACTATAGTAGCATGGTTTGTCTCCTTACGTACGTTGATTGTTGTGGTGTGTAAGGTTGAGTGTAGCTAATAATATTGTGTTATACTCCATAACAGTACATTTCTAGTTTATAACCAATCCTTCAAAAAGACAATGCTTATGGACACATCGATGTTTGACTGTTGATACAGTGTATCAGAAAGCATTTTGTGAGTTATGAGTGAAGTCAAAAAGCTTGAGTCAAGTGCTTTACTAATGCATTATAAATGCCTCCAAAGATGTGGCCTTCATAGAAAGTGTTACAAAAATCGGAATTGGACAAGAGGTGCAAAAACTCAAGCAATTCAGTATACAGGACTAAAGACAAGTTAGCTACCGTTTCGTTCATGTAAGGCTTCTCCTCAAAGCTTTGTATGCCTGTTTTGCCTTGCAGTTAACTAGACAGAACTCCCTTATCCTATACCTCAGACAACCTGATCAGCTGCTTCAAAACATGTTGCAGTAGAATAGAGGTGTGGAAAAATATAGCATATTTTATTCTTAGTATAACCGTGCAAATCAGAACTCAACGGAGGGGATCTCTTGATGCCTCAGTGCGCATGGAAGCCAATTTGTCTGACACATGATGCGTTTGTGGATCAATAATGATGTTCAGATTCTACTTCAGTATGCATTGTGAAGATTTACCAGCTTCACTCATTAAACTAAGTTAAGAACACCTTGAAACCAATTCCTCAGAGGATAAGTTTCTGCGTCTTTGCTTCCGATGGTCGACCTCTTGCTAATAAAATGAGTTTGACCTTTCAAATCAAGTTGATTTGTATCCTTTTTAAACACTTGGTCGGTCACCGAGTGGTTGTCATCAGTCTCGACCCTGTGTGAAATTGGAAAATGTCATGGCACACTCTGTAATTCAGGTGCAGTTGCTGTGCAGCCAGCCAACTCTGAGACATCCAACTTCACTGGCAGTGAATTACAGACTTCAAAAAGTTTTCCTGCCATTTTCCTGTGCCTGCTGACCTTTGTGTTCCCTGTCGCTCTCTAAGTCCGGGCTGCAGACCCCATACTGGGAGGTTTCCTCCATTACACCTTGTTAAAGAGTTGGCTATAGGCAGAGGGAACCGTTAAATCATAATTTGACATACAGCCTTGAGGAGAGAGATAAACAGTAAGAAAAACCGACGCACAAACCAGCCTAGGGTGACTTGTGTGAGACTGACAGTCGGTAAAGGAGCTTAATCTCATCATATCTGTCATCATGTTCATTTCATTTGCCTAGTTTTCTCAGTGGCTGCCACTCTTTGTGGCTTTGAAATCCCTTGTGAGAAGAGTTAGAATATGAATGGGACTTCTACTGACTTTAGATGTTTAGCCAAGGCCGGCGACTCAGAAAGACTTAACCAGACTGACAGTTCACAATGATGAAAGCCGTTTCTGTTAGATATTTAAGTCAGGAGAATGTTTAGGGAAGGTGCTTAAAACGGATCTGAAAAGAGCCCTGTGAGGGTCATGAGGAGAAGGCCTTTTAATAAATGGTAAGCAGTTAAATGGATTAGAACTAAATATTGGATCCTCATAAAAAATTAAAAATTGAGACCACTGCAAAAGCACTGCAGTGTCATAAAGAAAACGGTGTCGTCATGGTAAATGAGAGCAGACATCAGAACAAGGTCTGCTTTAAGCGCTGTGATTTACAAACAGTGAAGAATTTGACAAAGGGTCGCTTTGCCCGTGTCCCAGGGAGTGAAAAATCATTCACGTCTATTTATCTTTTAAGGACAGATGGTTGTTTAAGCTTGGTGGTCTGGGGCTAGTGCAGGGTGACAAATGTTTTGAATGCGTGTTATACTGCTTTTTTTTTTCAAGCTTTACATGTCCCTGCAGAGTTTGAATCGATGAACATAATTTGAGCAACGCTATGCTTCACAAAGCAGCTACCTCCACAGGGCTTCTTTACAGACACTAAAAAAACATTAAGAAAAGCAATGGCCTATGTCAGGGGTGTCCAAACTACGGCCGGGGGGCCAAATGCAGCCATTTTGAATCGGCACTGAGCAAATTCTAAAAGTAAAATGGAATATGGCCCACAAATGAAACTTGAGCTTGTCTTCTTAAACTTCTTAAATCTGTAAACATATATTACACAGTAGTGTTCATGTTTTGATAAGCCCACTGTCTGTCAATTAAAGTTGAAAATATGTTCTAACAAATCTAAGCTGATAAGAAAACAGCCCAATAACTTATTTACATAACAGGGCCCAGCCCTTTGAACATTTTTCAGTATGTGGCCCCTCAGTGATAAAGGTTTGGACACCCCTGGCCTATGTTCTAAAAGGTAACACTTAAACTGTTGTTTAATAAACAAAACCCACCTGGATGTTGACCCTCTCAATGACACAGGAGATGACATGGAGCACCTGCATCTTAGTGTCACACTGCGTCACCTGCTGCAACAGCTGGAAGAGCAGCCCAAAGATAGACTCAAGGTACTAAACAAAAAAGAAAGACAATGTAAGCGTTAGAAAAGCAGAAAGGGAGAGCTGAAAACTTTATTCATATATAATCCTCTGCTTGTCACTTGATTGAAAACATTCACAGTCAATTCCACGTTAGTGATAAAAAATACTCACTGGCAGGAATTGCTCTGTCCGGAATTCAAAGTCATCAACGGGTAGTTATGAGTTAAGGATGAAATCAAACAGTTTAGGACAGATATATATGCAAACAGTCATGTCTTCCTAAGGAAGGCCATCAGATGCAGTGAGGCTTTAACAGCAAACAAAGTAAGAAAAGCATAATACAATTATTTGTTGAGAAAATGCTGCTTTGAAAATAAATAAAAGAACTGGAAGGATATTGAGCTTCAGGGTTGTAGCCGTCTCAATCCGCACCTATGAAAAAAAACAAGATCAACATTTAATTTATTTAGTACATCTGGATAAGTGGTTTATTTAAGCTACATAGAGAGAAGATATACCAAGTTTGTATTGATACAAGGGGGAAATAAATGAAATGAACAAAACAAAACAAAATGACATGTTCCTTTAATGGAAGCCTTGGAAAGATCCCAGACATAAATATCTCACGATAGGAAAAAGCGAGGGCTGCTCGATTATGGCAAAAATCATAATCTCGATTATTTGGGTCAATAATTGATATCACGATTATTAAAGAACAATTATCCATTTACTTTGAAAACATCCATTTATTGGAAAAAACAGTATGTTTTTAACAATTGATTACCCTGAACTTTAAGTATAATTCAACTGAAAAACCAATAAAATAAAATAGAAAAGAAATAAAGAAAAGAAGGCGGCTTCTCCACTCTCATAGACAAGCAGTGTACTCCAGCAGTGTCAAAGGGAAGCTAGACGGGTAAAGAAAAAGGTGTGGAACGTGAACTCAATTATAAGAAAGGGCATGCTCTCAATTTCACATCAAATTCAAAGTAAAAAAACTCAAAAGTGGGTTGGTGTGTGGGTGTGTGTGCGCGTGTGCGTGTGCGTGCGTGTGCGTGCGCGTGCGTGTGTGTGTCTTTCTTTAAAAGCAAGATGTGTGAAAGGCTTTTGCCACAGAAAATGTAGTCTAGATAGATGCAAGTGTATTTGACTTTTTCATAATTTTCTGACATCTACATCTTTCCTTAGGTCTTGCAAAAGGGCATTTAAATGTTTTTATATCCTAACATTCTTGCGTTAACGTGTGATTTCTAGGCTATTCAAGCATACTACAGGACCAATCAGTCATACAACCAATTACTTATTTTACAACAAGCTAATATCTTAGCGCAGCAAACCAAAGCTAGCTGGTGTATAATCGTCACCAGTTGCAATATACCGATTTTAGAAAACCATCCCACAAAAACAACTATAACATTTAGTGCTGAACTAGTCGCTACAATTCAACTTTTTTTCTCAAAAGACTATATGTCATTAATTTATGAAACAATAACATTGATTTCCCCTGTAGTGAATCCATTAACATCCAAAAACAAGATGTAAAACTACTACTACTTTTTATGGTTTACAGCATGCCATTGAGTTGTATAAAATGATTTACATAATCCACACAGATCTCTTTGTTCGGGTTTTTTCATCAAGTGCTAACATGTGATCATTTTGGTTATGTTGTCTTAACAAAGCAGAAATAAATTAATCTTCTCCTTGAAAAACAGCATGGAAGATTTACAATACATTCAGAAATACATGAAAGCATACATGTGATTAAACATCAAAGAGACTTAAACTGATAACCCTATTTAATTGTCCTCCATTCAAAAGAATTTCAAACACTCATTTTAAGTTCTTATGTAAAGGTAAAAAAGACCCATGTAAAATTTACATTCGAGAATTGGATTTAGAGATGTAAAAATCCCCCCCTGGGTTTGCAAGATCATAAAATACGGAATAATGTTTGAGTAATGCTGCATACATTAAGAAGCAACCGAAGGAGTATGTTGATGAACGAAGCCTATCAGTTGCCATCAGCGCTGGCCCTCTGGGAAAATCAACCACTAATGAGAGAAAATGCATTCAGTTCTACAGCAAAGCAGAGAAGATAATAGATAGCTTCATGAAATACTTGGATGGGTCTAATGACACACACACACACACACACACACACACACACACACACACACACACACACACACACACACACACACACACACACACACACACACACACTATTATTCAGTTTCAAATGGTCTTTAAATGAATACTAAAAAACAGCAGGTTCAAACTGAATTTTAAAGTGATTAAAAGTTGAATCAGAGAAAATGTCACTGAACCACCTCACTGAATCCAAACAAGCCAAAGAAACATTTCTACTGAGCAACCGCTCATTACAAAGCAACACCAGAGGCCTCACAAGTTAGGCTGTGTTAAACGATCCGGCGGGCCTCCACTGATGTCAATAATGACAGCTTTTATTTCCAGGATCTTAGATTTTATAAAGATGGAATTGGCTAAAACTGCTCTGGAGTGGTTCAAAGTGTCATTGTGTCTATATAGACAGCACTACAAAGACAACAGAAAGCACAAAACACAATCAACTGGAAATGTTAATTAGAGCACATTAATAATAATTTGCTGAATGCTACTGCTGGCTAATTACTAAAACAACCTGAAATAGAGATCTTTCTTCTGTTAAGCTTTTATAGACTTGTAAAGTAGTAATGATAGTTTTTTCTGATTTGATTGTGTGTCTCAGATTATTTAACTACACATTGAATAACTTGACATAGATTGGAAGATTTACACTGACAAGAAATATGTATGTTTGGTATGGGGTAAATGCTACCTGATGTAATATGTCTCAGTATATCTCAGACACATTTTGATCTAAATTAAAGACCATTACCATTCGCTCCAACTAGAGATGTCCCGATCCGATCACGTGATCGGGGATCGGAGCCGATCACGTGATTTTCAAAAGATCGGAATGGGGAGAAAAAAATCGGGGATCGGGATTTTTTTATTTTTTATTATAAAAACAAAAATGACCATGTTCAAGTCTTAAAGTCATCCTGAGGCCTTAGTTTTGGTTTCAAATTACACAACATCATGTATGTTGCTTCTTTGGGGCTTGTTTTCATAGACCTGGTTGCTTATTTCTCTCAAATCTGGCAACAGAGTGGGCAGGGCGCAGTGTCTAATTGTAGCAGTAAGCTAACGAGTACTGGTAAGCTTTATTTTTGTTTTGATCCAATGCTGCACAACTGAACTGATCCAATGCTGCTGTGAAAAAAATAAGCTATATCCATGTTGGATAGAATATCCAATATAAATTAAAAAAAATAACCTTAAGGGACAACTTGAATGCTTTTTTCCTTTTTTTTCTCTTAATGCATTGCATAAAGATCGGATCGGGAAAAATCGGAATCGGCAAATTGTCAAAATCAAATGATCGGAATCGGATCGGGAGCAAAAAAAGGTGATCGGGACATACCTACAGTAGGTCCAACACTCAATTGAACAGTTTGTGGTTCATCAGTGTCGGTCAGGATAGTGGATTTACTGTTTAGTAACCAAAAACATAATTGAGTGGGTTATATAGTGGTGGATTATATTCACGAGACATAAAATCCATATTAAAATGCCTCAAAGCCTCCCTGCAGCTGAGGAAAGGTGGGCAGAAATGGGAAGTACTGTTGACTCGAACAGCTTCATGTTGTCAAAGAGAGCTTTAGAGACAATTCTAGAAAGGAATGTTACCTCCCACTGGGAATGCAAATGGCCTGGAAATAGAGAAGATAAACTTGCAAGCAAGATTATTTTTAGCCTTTATTTAGAATCTGTGAATAAAAATCAGAGAAGTATGCAGCTGTGAGAAAGAAAGGAGAATGGAGGACACGTGGATAGAAAAACTATATGGCACAATAGAAAACTGCAAGCTATTAGCATCAGAGTTTGCAATTGTGCTCAGAGTCATTGATGAGGGCCTATAAACTGTGTCACTAACAAAGCTCCCACGGGTGTAGCTTTACCTCAAAAGCCTGAATTAACTGTAGACAGACAATAATCATTTATATTGGCACAAAAAAGAAGATATAGTAGAATCTTATCTAGACAATAAGCTGAAATAAATAAGCATGTACAATTATCCTAAATATACCCATTCCTATATAGCAATAAAGTAGAACATTACTTTGTATTACATAACATCTGGCACCAAAATGGTGGAATGAGCTCCCTATTGACGTCAGGACAGAAGAAACTGTGCATATATTCCGCCGCAAACTTAAATACGCATCTGTTTGGATTTCACATTGGCAATTACATTCTTAAAGGAAAAAAGATTTAAAAAACAGTACTTTAAAGAGTTAGCTTTGGCCTTGTATCTGATTCACCAGCACTTACAATGGTATGACCTACTTGAAGTGAATACATCTGCACTTCCCTTGTTGTTCGGTTTAAGTATCACTACGGTTATTGCACTTATTGTATGTCGCTTTGGATAAAAGCATCAGCCCAAAGAAATGAAATGTAATGTAATCTGGATTGCACCTGCAATTCATTATCTGCTTTGACAGGCATTTGATTAACACAGAACGCTGCCGACTCCTCAGGTAGAAGTAGCACATCACAGCATTATGCTCCCAGCCCTAGCATCACCGATAACTGAGCTAATAGTTAACTAGGTTATAGTAGCGAATGTTAGTGGTTAGTGCTACTTGTAAAAAATAATTTCAACAAGTATACAAAACAATGCTGCTTGAAGAAACTGCTTTAAGAGTTAATTTGAAGAATTCACTGATTGCATTTAAGGCACAGACATGTCTAATAGTTTTATCTTCTCATATCTCCCTACAGGCATATTTGTTGCTAAAGAGAGTGGGTGGCTGGGTGGTTACAAAAGGAGATGATACGGCAGAAATAAAAATGAAAATTGAAAACACTAAGCAGGCACAGAAAAGATCAGCATCAGAAATGTGTTCACTATCACCAAATAGGCTTGTCTTTATAAATTAAGACAGTTCTCGCTTGAGAAGTGCCCTGTTTACAAAAATCCAAGAAAACCGTTTTAGTTGAAACAATGCATGCAGTTAAATTACCATTTTGATCAAACTACAACTCTACTTACTCTACAGTTGTTACAAGTGTTTCTTGTCAAATACACAAAACAAATGTCAGAGATAAATATATCTGTTATCTTGAATGATGAACTTTCCATCTGAAGTACAAGGACCGCCGGATAGCATGAGAGAAATTGATACCTGATCGCTCTGATAGATAGAGGGCAGTTTTCTCCATTAGTGGATTTTAAGTTTATGATCAATAATTCATTTTGCCCAAGAGGTTCTAATTTGCCCAGACAATATTGATCGGGAGTCACAACATGGTGAGCTGTCCAGTGATCTAACATTGAACTTGTGTGAAGAAAGACTATTGGAACAGTTAAGGCTCATTAAAACTTGGCACTTAACGCATGGCACTTAATTATAAAAAGCTGTCTTAAAACAAATGTTACATATTAAAACCATGCTTTTTTGTAGGGATAAGTATAATTGCCCACATTTGGATGCCTCCAATAATTAAAACTGTAAAACAAGATCATATTCTGTGTGACTGCCTTTCATGTACTGTAGGTTTATTAAAGCAATACTTCATGATGAGCCATTGAATGCTATAGGGACAGAATTTACTTAAATGATATGATGCTGTGTACACAACTTTATATCCACTGTAGCAGCCTGCTAATGAGCTATGAGGCAAGTAATGACATGTGAGAGAAATGTGACCTTCCTCGGTTAATTGGTATCCATGTACACAGGTGGCAGCGGGCCCCATTGCAGTCTAAATGGCTGTGAAAACATAATCCTTGGGCTCTAAACCTAAATATACTGTTTCACATTGTTAGTGTCATCATGTGTGCTTCCAGACCCGTCCCATACATGGAAGATGCATCATGCATGTCACAACTGGGAACATACAATTAACATCAGAGAGCTGCATAATTGTCACTGAGTTTATGCCTCCCTCCCTCCATCCATCACAATAATATATCAGGGCATGGTGTTTGCGTGGGCTCTGCAATTATAAACTTAATTACATTGTAATCATATTCTATGTGTATTGAAACAAAGGGGAAGGGAAATAAACATACATCCAAAAGTTCCTCTACACAAAGAGGGTTTAAGAGGCAGGGGAAGCAATTAGACGCAGAGAGATTGAACGCAGTAACTAGAAAGGGTTCAGTCTAATGGGGAGATTATGTTGAATTGCATTGTAAATAATGCATAGAACTTTTCACACCACTTCATATAAATAATTTTTTTAGGAAAACACATCAGTCAAGTGCATGGCTCATGAAGCAGGAAACCAAATGATGGCAAATTGTAATTTTAAATTGCGGATGACTATGGCATAATAATGGCTGCTTTTCCAAAATGAGGATTACAAAGAGGTTTTTCAAGGCCATGGCTGAGTGAAAATGTTAACTAGTGAATTAAACTCTTTGATAAAAACGATTCCAACAAATTACCTCTTTAAAGAAAACAAAAGAGAAGTTTAGAAATCAGATGACACACCTTCCCAGAATCCCTCACTGACTATGTTTGGCTTTGTATAAAGTTAGCAGAGTCATTGATGCGTTGCCATGACGTTAAGCTGAGAACTCGTCTGTGTCGCTGACTGTGCACTTTCACTAGGGGTTTGTTTAATTCATGACGAAATGAACGTATTCTGAGGAAGCTGCCACTCCAGTGATTATGAGCAGTGTGCAAAAGAAAACACTGATTTATGTCTGTATGCCTTACCACCAAGTCTGGATCCTGCATGAGGCTCAGGATGACCTCGTAGAGTAAAGGTCGAAGGTCGGATTTGAACTTGACAGCGATCCACTGGCCTATTAGCCAGATCACCCGTCTGCGAATCAACTTGTATCTGAGGAGGAAAGAAGGATGGTAGATTAGTAAATGCTGGTTTCAGATAAATAATTCATCAAAGTTCTTCAGTGCACTCTTCATCCATATCATAAATTAGAGAAATGAACCAGCTGGCCCTCTAATCCTGTCTCCACAATTTAGCTACATTGTTTAGGGATCCATTAAAAATGACTGGGCCAGTTATTCAAAAGATTGGATTCTACCAGTAATTTTGACTTATCATTTTGACTGATTATTGTCCTTTTTTTCCCACGTCATAAAAAAAACAGCACAACACATGCACTGCTCTGGCTCAAGCTCTCACTCCTCTGTAGGGTTGGGAACCGAAACTCGGTTCCAGATGAGAACCGATAAGAAAATGCAGGGTACCGAGTACCCATACAAAATACACAATTTTGGTTCTGCTTATCGGTTCCTAAACGCGGTAGACCCTGTATTCCAGTGAGTCCGTCTGCACCGCGGTGAAATACACGGCGGACCTGGAGAATCACAGAAAGGCCGATCGTCAGCAGGCCGTTGACGGCCGGCACCGCCCTTAATAACGGCATCATGTAAGTTGCGCTGACAGGCTCAGCCTGTCTGTAGTTTAGAATAATTTCTCACACACACACACACACACACACACACACACACACACACACACACACACACACACACACACACACACACACACACACAGTTCAAGAGCTCAGTCACTTCATAACACCAAAGATGGTTCGCGGTAAAGTCTCTAAAGTGAGGCTCCACTACACTAAAAAAGAAAAAGA